TGATTCATATTCACACGATTTTGTAATTCAATATCGCGATTCATATTCACGCGATTTTAAAACCCAAAATCGCAATTCATATTCACGCAATTTTAAAATCCAGTATCACGATTCTAGAAAGAAGTAGAATTAAGTTTTTTCTTGAATTAGTTACTGTAAAGATGTGATATATTTTTCTACAGTTGTTGCATTTAAACAATTACTAAGTGCATTCATAATCACATTTTATGATTGTATATTTAGCTATACAAATTAAAAGAACATAGTCAACTAACTAATCTTGTGAATGCAAGAAAGTACAATCTACTAGTCAATGCCAATAAACTAAAAAGTTTACTTTTATACTTAATAAAGGATGCAAGTCATTTTAGAAAGAAAATTATATTTATATGTGTCTTTTTAAATTGTTTATAATAGTTTTTAAATATTTCTGTTTTGATATAAAAATGTATATATGCTAATTTTTGGCTATTAAGTGCTCCCTAAAATTTTCTTGAAAAATTCCTACCTAAAATATTTCAAAATTTCACTGCACCTCCTGAATTCTATCAAAGAGTGGGTTTTTTTTGTGTTATTTACATTTTCTTAAACTCTCATTATTTAATTACTGAATTTCTCTTTTAATTATTGAAATCTGAAGACCTTCCATTGTAACTGCATAGTTATATATTTTGAGATGAAATTTGAGCTCGAAATAAAATGGGTATTTTCCTTTTTGAATTACCAAGACTAAATAGATATTTCTTTTTAGAAAGGTTACACCATTATATTTTAAAAAATAAGAAAGTTAAAATTTACTTTGTAAAATTCTGGAACAGATACAATTCATTGGCATAAATGATAAATGCAACATATATGAAAACATATGGTGCAATATATATAAATGCAACATATATGAAAGTCCACAAAACAATTTTGTGGACTCTTATAATCAATCATTTGCAGGTTTTTTAAAATCCTAGCAATAGTGCTCCTAGTATGCTATTAATGGTTTTATGGATCCTGAAAATTATCTTTATATTGTTATCAAACTGGTTAATAGTCATTTTAGCTGAGATAAACTGAGTTGAACTGAGAACTTGTTTGAATTTTGTAACTCAGACATCTTTAGAATTTGAGTGTTGTTAGGAGGTGCTGATTTTCTCCTTGATCGACCCTTGATATCTATTCCAAATTTTTACTTATTTTTTTATAATAAATGGACAAATATATTGAATTTTTTTATTCCTTTATTTTTATTTCAAGTTATATTATGTTTTACATTTAAGGATAATAGAAGATAGCGTTTTACGTTTTTTTCCTGTATGCTTTTGATGCCTTCTTTTCACTTTTTATATCTGTAAACTATGTTTTGTTTATATCTCTCTGATTTATTGTTTATTTTATAATAGAGAGTAAAATAAATTGCAAGATTCGGTGACTATAAGGCCTACTTTTTGGATAATTTTACTTTTGATTGGATTTAATCCCTATTAATTTTAACATTAGTTTTAATTAAAACTTTTGTTTGGAATACTAAGCTCTCTTATTTTGTAAAGACATAAATTTCTAATAAATTTTTAAAGTTTTTCTGTCTGTAATGTTTATGTTTGGATTTTTCATTTGTAATAAAGGGTCAGATCTTTTCCTATTTGTTTTCTTTTTAACAAATTTGCTTTTATCTTTTAATCAATATACAAAAAAAAAAAAANGTTGCTAAAAAAAAAAAAAAAAAAATACAAAAAAAAATAAATAGAAATGGAAAAAATATTATGACTAAGAGAAAAATTCTATCCAATTGTCAAATTTTGGGTATTTTATTTTTAGAAACATTATTCTATTTAGTTGAGTAAATGAGAGTACGAGTAATTGAGTAAATATGTTCTAAGACTAAGCAAGAAAAATTTAATAGATTTTATGAAAATATTACAGTATATAACTATGTCTATTTATTAATGATTATTGTTTTTACACTGCAAAATAATATATACCATAATTGTTTAGAATCTTGCTGAAAGGGGAGAAAATCTTTCTCAACTTGAAGAAAGAACAGAAAAGATGATGTCTGAAGCTGAAAGTTTTCAGAGTGCTGCACGTCAATTAGCTACTAAATTCAAAGATAAAAAGTGGTATCAATTTTGAAATATATCAGCACTGGCATTTAATTCATCAGGATATTTAATCTCCTTAAATGATGCTATTCACAAAGCTAATGCATCATTCATTCAACTGTTCAACCATGAAAAGGTGCAGTGTGTAAAGTACATAGCTGTTAAATGTATTAGGAGATCAATTTCGGAGGAAATCTGTGTTTACTGTATCATATAGAAAGATCTATTCTAAAACATGTTTGTCATATGTACGGCGGCATAATGTTTATCCCTAAGAATATTCTCCTCTACTTACCATCAGGAAAATTTCCTTTTTTGAATTAATTATTTAAACACTGTCAAAGATATTTAATATATTTCCCATTGTAATAAATTGGTGTTACTTTTCAGTGTAAAATTTCTATCCACTGCCCTTTAAATTTTTTCATGTAACATTTTTATTTAAAATACTTTAAAGCAATATTGATTGATTTTGTAAAGTGCTGTTCTATTCTAATATGATGAACTTCAGAAGAATTAAGACTTGATTTGATACATAGCTGTCAACTTTGCCATTTTATCTGCCAAAATATTTGAAATTGTAATGAAAAAATTATATACACTAACATACACTTAATACACTTAAATTTTAATAGGACTTAAAAGTCACTGCATGATTGTCATTATCTTTATAGATAAATTTGATTTATTTATACCTGATTCATAGGAATCTAATGAAGCTTAGATTCTTCTACTGTCTGTAATGTTTGTAAAAACTATTCTGCAAACTGTGGAAGAGTTGGCAGCTATGTCAATACAACAAACAGTTTTTACTCTGAAATATGTGGTTGCAATTTAAGTACTGGTCCTTAGTGGATGCTCTGCATTTTAGCACAAACAAACTATCACAAAATGAAAAAGAAAAGAGGTTTAAAAAATAGAAATAGAGTCTGAAAGAAGAGGTATAATCATCAATATCTTTTTTATGCTAGTGAAGCTGCATTAATGTGTTATTTATTTGTATTGATTAAAAGTTGAGTAATATCAAGAAATGACAAATTACAACTTACTTAGAAATGGCATGACATATACAACGTCAAATTGTAGGTTTTCATAATATTAAAAAGTGTAATTTATGTTAATTGTATCAATGCTCAATATTTTATTATTAGTTAAAGCAAATTGAAGTTATTGTTTTAATGTACATGAATAAAGTGTTGCGTTTTATCAAGTCAAAAAGTTATTGGTACTTATTCCTCTCTCAGGCTCTGTTTTTTCTTCTTTTCTAGCTTGTTAAAGATATCATATCAAAATGCAAACTGCTTATCTTAGATCAACTATCATTGTACTATGATCATGCTACCATATATTATGATAAAAAGTGTATGTTTTATTGGTTTCTATCATCTTCTGAAATTCACATACTAATTTTAAATTGTTCTTTATATTCTGTGTTATATAAAAATTGTTACAAAACTCAAAAAAATTGCACAACGTATTTATTATGCAGATGAGGTGAACAGTTTAAGGTTTGTAGTAAATCTTAATTTTTAAACTTTATTTTACTGTTTTTCAAATGTTCATTTATATATAAATGCTTTTTTCTTTCTCTTTTTTAAAGAAAAAAAGCTAACTTTTAGATTTAGTTGCCTTTTTTTAGTTTAAACTTTTAAAATAGAAGGTTTCTCAACTGTGCCAAAATAAACTATAATGTGAAAGAACTTTATTCTTATTTTATGGTTGTTGCGGTTATTAAGTTCTGAATATTTCTTTAAGGTACTTACTAAACAAATTAATGTGATAGTACACTTTGATAACAGTGCTAATTTTTATACTAGGTATTTTTGATGTAGTGTAAAATCCTGAAATTTTTGGATAACAGTAATTCACTGTGAATAATATATATTAAATATGTGTATTTTATGAAACATTGAACTTTCATTTATTTAACTAAAGTTTAGATGAGATAGAGACATTAACACTGTTTTTAAATGCATATTTAATTTACAACATCCATACCAGTTAATATTCCAACAATCAATTTTAATTTGCAGACTGTTTAATTTTAATACTATCTTACTTTAAAGATGCAAGAAATAGTAATAAATGACTTTATGCTTAACTAGAAAATTGCTTTAAATGATTCTCTTCTATCTAAAAAATAATTTCATTCCTAAATGAAGACAAATCTGTTTAGAAGGTATAATCAATTTACTTTTAATGGATTAAATAATATTAATTAAAAAGTCCTTATTGGACATGCTATTTAATACATTTTTGGAACATCTTAATTTAAAATTTACCCAAGCTGTAGCTACTAAAATTTAAACTCAATTTTAAAATAATTTAACTTTTACACTTTTTTCCAATAAAGTAGCTGTTACAAAACTATTGTACTGATATGTTAGCCTTGTGTTTTGTTATTTGCTGCAAAAATTTCATTTTTATTTCAATTAAGAATTTCTTCATATTCGATAATTTTTTTAACTAAAAAAAACTTTTATTTTGTTTTGTGCATATAGGAATTGGTGTATTTTTACTTGAATGTTGGCTAAACTTAAAAAAGTTATTTTTCCAATATTATTTAATTTTTTCAAGTCTTGATATACACATTTAAGTATCATGAAGGCTGTAAAACATAAGAGAATTTTACTAAATAATACCTGAAAATTTTTTGTCTGTGTATTGTTGAATGTAAACACTATCATTTTGTTGCTTATTATGTTTGGGAAAAAATCACATTTCGATTGTGAATTAGTTTGTTTCATTTAGTTTTGAAACCTTGGGATAACCTCTCTTTCAGAAATATGTGATAATTTTATTTTTTTTTTGTACATAATCTTTTACGATAGTTATTTTATGTAAATAAGTTATATTTAAACTATAAATTAATCATGCTGTATTTCTTGTTATGATTTTTAGAAATATTTTCTGTTGAAAGTTTTTAATTGAAAAGTTTATTTTATATACTCCCATTTAAGTGTCACAAAAATTATTGAAATTTCACCTCTTAAAGTTTTTACTGTATTTTAGCCTTTTCCCTTTTTTTTATTAGTCAATCTAAGTCATTTTTGTATTATAGTTTATTTTCTTTAAATTTGCTCATTTAGTTTATCCTATTTCTATTAATTCTAGTTATGTTTTATTTTAAGCATTTATTTGAAATTTAGATTTTGTCTAGACATGAAGGTTCAACATATTGTGACATAATGTGCTTATTTGCTCCTAACTTGAAATTTATTTTGATTTTAGACAACGGATATATATATATTTTTAAATGAGGAATTTCAAAACATTGTTAAAACAAGTAGCTCAAGTAATTTTAATTTACTAAGTTCTTGAGCTTTAAAGTTATCTGAGTTCATAAAGCTCAAAACATTATTAAAAGTTTCTCTTATTGTTCTCCATATTAAAGATGTAATTTTCTCGCTTCATTGAAGAATTCAGTAGGCAACCAAATTATTCCTATTAAATTTTTTAAACTTTTTCTCCTTTTTAACATCACATTTCTATATTTTGACACTGATTTCAGTTTTCTTACATCTTATAGTTAATGTTAAAAAATTATGGCGTTTTTCGCTATTTTACATTTAAATATGAATTTAATTATTTGGTTTGTCTTTTGAACTAAATACTCATATTACTTTATAGAGAATAACTTTAATTAATCATGTAAATTAATATTATGAATAAAGTTGTTGCATATAATTTTTTCAGTCATTAGTATTTTGCATTTTTGTAAAGAAAGTTGTAGTTTATTGATTATTTTATGTTGCATGGAGAAAAGTTTCTTGTTTATCAAGAAAGAATCTGATTTTGTGTACTGTCCATGTTAAGCTCTTAGATTTTTACTGGATGTCTGCTTAAAATATTTTATACCTTTAAAATGTTTGGTGTATCTTGAATTATGTTTGAATAGTTTGTATTTCTCAAATTGATGCTTCTCGAACTGTTAATTTTAACTTCTAGTCCTTAAAAGTTTGCATTTGATCAAATGATTGCTGATTCTACGTGATGCTTTATTTATTTTTTTTTTAAAAATGGATACATAATTCTACCACTGAAACATTTAAGTAAATAGATCTTAAATATATAAATTAAAACAAAAAATTTAAATTCTGAGTAAAATTTCAAATTCTAAAAAAATTTCTAAATAAGTTGTGTTTAACATGGATGGATGAAAATAATATTTAGATTTATTTTCCTTGTGAATCCCATATATTAGGAATGGGTTTGTATCAGTGTCTCTCATTTTTATATTAAGTGCTTATAAGTTTAATAGTATCTTGAATAAATACATCAAGAAAATAACAATTATATTTTATATCTATTTATTTATAAAGTACTTTAAAACACCTTGAACCTTTAAAAAAATATAATAAATTTTTTTATCTTATAAATTTTACCCAGATACACAATTTCATTTGGATTTTTGGATTATTGTTTTGAATTAGTTCGATAGCAATTCTACTGAGGAGAAATTAATATCAATGTTTCTGAAATTATTTGCTCCTCATCATTATTTGCTGATATTATCCGTTTTATTAATTGTAGCAATAGTAAAGTTCTTTCTCTGTACTTCATTACAGATTTGGACTCACTAACAGTCTATGGATTCATTAATCCAAATCAGCTCCTTTTCAAACTAATACAAGAAAGTTGATATCTGCAAATCGATTCAGATTTGATTTGCCAAAATGTATCTCATGTTCAGATATGTAATATTCTTTCTAATGTTTCAGATTTGATTTGCCATAGTTTTATTTCACTATATCAGAGCATTTTCTTATTGTATTTATTTAATTTTAGCATATTTTATTGTTTTTAATGATTAATCAACAGACATTTAACTTTGCAACTTTCTTCCCTATTAATTGAGATTGATTTGTATTTGATATTAAAAACACTAGGATTTTGTAAAATGATACTAAACTGTAGGTACTTACCCAACTCTAGTATATATTGTTAAGTCTTATTTAAATATGTTATATATATTTTTTCGATTTAATAATTATGGACTTTTTTATTACTGAAAAAATAGTAACTACCATACTCATCATTTATAGATCATATTTATTTTCATTCATTGCTCTAAATGCTACACATGAGCGAAGCCCAGTAAAATATGAGTTAATTAATGTAAATCAATGTTATACTTTAATAAACAGGTATCCCTTTAAGGGTAATTAGTGCATTCTATTCAATGAGTATATTTTACCAGAAATTACCTGCATTTTTAATGTGAAGGCAACTTGCAATAGGTATTTATAACAAATTTTGCTCTGATTTCATTTTTTTCTCTCCTTAGATTGGTGGTTTAAGCTAAATGTAACTTCTATTTCAGTGTAGTAATTGATGTTTTTTCTTATGGTCTAAAAGTTTATATTGGTATGGAATTATGCTAAAAAAACTTACTAAAAAAGAAACATACTAAAGATGTTTCTTTTATGGTATGCATTTAAATTACATTAACTTAATATTTTGAATTTTATGTTAATGCACATGAGAATTTTTCAATCTTAAGAAAAATGTGCGATTATTTTAATTGGTAAAATGTAAGTATTATTTAGTGAGGAACTGCATCACAAAATTTATACTACTTTGGTGTTAAAGAGCCATAAATATAGCTTTTCTTTAATGCTGTTTTCAAAAAACCTATTTTTTTTAAAGAACTGTAGGCCTTAGCTAGGGCTAAATTTTATGGGTTCAAACCTCCTCAAAAATGTAAGGATTTAAAAATTTATAAACAAAAAATTGAAATAAAGACATCATTAGAAGTTAATAATTTTTAAAACATGTTGGAATTATACTTATGAATACTGTCATAATCTATTTAAAAAGTTATTTTTGATTTTGGAAAAATAATCAAGGAGTAAATGAACTTAAAATTTAATTGAATGTGCAAATTACTCGCAGCTATACTTACTGTGTACTTATTTACATAAACAGTAATTACTAATAATGAACAGCTTGAATTTAGAAATAATAAAATTGAAATTTTAAAATGTTACTAGAAAAAAAATTGTATTAGGAAAATTAAAATTTGATATTTTTCTAAAATGAAAGTATGACTATCACTTTGATGCTTGAGGAAATCTTATATCGGTCTGTAACAGCCTGTGTGTGAAATTTTGAGACCTATTTTAACTTTCATTTTATCTCCCTTAAAAATTGGATGATTGAAACACCTATGTTTTTCGAAATATTCTCCTTTATTTATTCATGAA